ATCATCATGATCATCATCCTCATCATCATCATCATCATCATCGTCATCATCATCAGCATCATCAGCAGCATCATCATCACCATCATCCTCATCATCCGAATCATCATCATCATCATCATCATCATCATCATCATCATCATCATCATCATCATCATCATCATCATCATCATCATCATCATCGACATCACCATCATCATCATCATCATCATCATCATCAGCATCATCAGCATCCTCATCCTCCGCCTCCTCGAGATCGCACTGCCTCAACTCCTTCCCGCGACGTCCCCTTCGGCCTGGCGCAGTGCGCGGAGCCTCTGCTGGAAGGCCTCCTCCGCGAAAAGCCTCGGGCAAGGCGCTAGACGCTCGACCACCCCCACCGGGTATGGCGCCTGCCCTCCTTACCCGTCTTTTGATTGATATTATCCTCCGCCTCCTCCTCCTTCCTCCTCCTCTCCATCCTCATCCTCCTCCTCCTCATCTTCCTCCTCCTCCTCCCTCCTTCTCCTCCTCCTCCTCCTCTCTCCTCCTCCTCCCCCTCCTCTTCCTACTCCTTCCTTCTCCTCCTCCTCCTCCTCCTCCTCCTCCTCCTCTCCTCCTCCTCATTCCTCCTCCCCCTCTTCTTCCTACTCCTCCTTTTCCTCCTACCGCCGCCTCCTCCTCCCTCTTCCACACTCTCCCTCCTTCATCTCCTCTTCCTCCTCCTCTCACTCCTCCTCCTCCTCCTCCCCCTCCTTCTCCTCCTCCTCCTCCTCATCATCCTCCGCCTTCTCCTCCACCGCACTCCGCCCTCGTCCTCCGTTCCCTCCTTCTGACTTGTCCTCCTACTCCTCCTCCTCACCTCCTCCTCCTCCTCCTCCCCGATCTCCCCCTCCTCCTCCTTCTCCTCCTTCTCTCCCTCCTGCGCCTTTGCCTGCTCCTCACAACCATCCCCTCCTCCTCGTCGTCACCACCACCACCGTCATGAATATCTTGATTTGTGTAGCTGCTGTAGCTATCACTGTGATGTGTCCCCCTCCCTCGTCCCCGATCCCAATTCCCCTACTCTTCTCTGAAGAATTGGCTTGGGAGCACCAGTCGTCGCAGTCGCCCTCGCAAACCGAATCTGCTTCGGGCAAACAGCGTAATCACGTCCGTGTCTGCGGCCGTTCAATCGGACCGCTAGTGTCACCGTTCCCTCAGGAATGTTTCACTCCAAGGCGCCCCTGTAAACACACCGATGGGAAGACAAGGGTGTGGCACGAACGAACGCCATGGGACGAGTGAAGGGATGAACATGGAAAGACGAACGTGCGGGAGCGACTGGGAGGGAGAAAGAAGATGAGGCTGCGGCTACCATCCGCGTGAGCCGGGGCAACTAGAGGAAAATGACGTCAGTTGAAAAAGGGGAGACGGGCAGAGTGAAAGGATGGGGGACGTTGGGTGGGGGGAATCGAATGGGCTAGGGGACGTGGTAAGGGAGGCGGAGGGGATGGGAAGATGGGGGAAGGGTTTTGTCTCGTCGGCCAAACGCAACTCCCACCACTGCTCGCGCATCAACTGCCAACGTGAAGCAGATCGCGCCGCCACAAAGAACGTGAGGCATGACCCGAGACACGATAGAGAAGGATGGGCAGCTGGATGGGGGGGCTGGATAGCATGGTCGCCAAGGTTGCTTGCCACGCGCCCCGGATGCGCGGGGACGAGGGGGAGGGGGGAGGGAGGGAAGAAGGGGGGGAGGGTATGTAGCAGAAGATTGGGGGGGGCGGAGCAGGAGCAGGAGGGGGAAGAGGACGAGAAGGAGGAGGAAGGGAAGGAGGAGGAAGGGAAGGGAAGGGAGAGGAGAAGGAGGAGGAAGGGAAGGGAGAGGGATGAGGAAGGGAAGGGAAGGGGAGGGAGGAGAAAGGGAAGGGGAAGGGGAGGTAGGGCAGGAGCGGAGCGTGTGAGAGCAGGGGGACGAGCAGCAGCAGGCGGGAGACGAGCAGCAGGAGCAGCACGGGGACGGAGCAGGAGGCTGAGAACCCCGGAGGGCCTGGCAACGTTTCGCCGATCGACTTGTGGGAGCCAGGCTGGAGACATCAACATACATGCAGGCACATCGAGGTACATCCAGGTTGCTGCGGGAGAACCAGGTCTCCAGAGACATCCAGAGATCTTCAAGGACATTTGGGGCAAATCGTTGGTGTTCCAGCGCGAGTTGTAGGGCAGCTGAAGTCGTTCAGCCCTTTGCGAGAGAAGGCGCAGAAGCAAAGGGAGGACTCTGGATCGCTTCACCCCATTCATGCCCAACCCGAGTGCGTTGTCCCCGATGCCACGGGATGGGGTGCGACACCTGGTGTCACGATCCTCCTCTGGAGGACGACAAGGACGAGGCGGACGAAAACGACGAGGAGGATTGGGGGTTGCCCAAGGTGTCCCTGGCCAGAGGTGTCCCCAGCTTGTCGCGCCATTCTGGAGCCCCTGGGGTACCCTGGGCCTCGCGAGCCTGGAGGCCGCGGGAGACCTCCCTTGAGATCCCGTGGACGCCCTGGGCTTGGGACACCTCTGCAAAACACCGGGCAACGACGAGGAGATGGATGAAGGCTGCTACAGCTGAGCGTCGGAATGAGCGTCCCACTGACGTCGTGACAGAACTGTGATTCGGGAAAACTGAATAGATAGAGAATGAAGCAACCTGAACAGAGAGGCAAGGAAGCTTGCGGAAAAGTGAGCACCGGGCCTGCTCCTACGCCTCGCTGGGGGAGTGAGGGGGGGACGAGGGTGGAGGGGAGGAAAAGGGGGGGGAGAAGGTGGATGAGAAGGGAAGAGATGGTGGACGAGAAGGGTGAAGGGGGGGAGAAGGTGGACGAGAAGGGGGGAGGGGGAGGGGGCAAGCTAATTAGGTGCGCTCGCGTCATATCTGACATCCTACCCCTCCCTCCCATCCCTTATACCATGGCGCAGATCCCCTCTCTGCTCGCACAGTCGGATGTCGAGCAGGTCAATGATCCCGAAAGGGTACGTGATGCATTGTAGAGCACGGCGTGGCATGGCGAAGAAGAGCACCGCAAAGCGTAGTATCAACCTAGCATTGCATTGCATGCCGTGGCATGGCACGGGAAATGACGCCAGCGCTGCATCGGGAGCACGAGTCGAAACGAGCGGAGGCGCGGAAATAAGGCCAGCGCTGCAGCGGGAACACGATTCGGAACGAGCGGGCACGCCGGAATCGGCCCGGGAGGCGTCCCGGGCGCCAGAAGCAGGAATTCAGCATTTGCAAAAGAAAAATGTGTATTGGAATGGCCTTTTTTCGGCGCCGCCTCGGAACTCGATTTTCCGGCGCCAGCCGGAACTGGCTCCGGACCCAGCCCGGGCGCTGGCCCGGGCGCGGGCTCGGGCGTCCGGCCCGGGCGCCGGCTCGGGCGCCGGCCCGAGCGTCGGAATCGGCCCGGGAGGCCTCCCGGCGCCGGAAGCAGAAATTCAGCATTTTCAAAAGAAAATGTGTATTGGAATAATTTTTTTCTGGCGCCGCCTCGGAACTCGATTTTCCGGCGCCGGCCGAAACCGGCTCCGGACCCGGCCCGGGCGCTGGCCTGGGCGCCGGCTCGGGCGTCCGGCCCATGCACGCGCCGGCTCGGGCGCCGGCCCGGGCGTCGGAATCGGCCCTGGAGGCCTCCCGGGCGCCGGAAGCAGAAATTCAGCATCTTCAAAAGAAAAATGTATAATTATTAGAATGGCCTTTTTTCGGCGCCGCCTCGGAACTCGATTTTCCGGCGGCGGCGACCCGAGCGCCAGACTGGGCGCCGGCTCGGCATGCAGCCCGGGCGCCGGCGGAAATGATGCCAGCGCTGCAGCGGGAGCACGATTCGGAACGAGCGGGGCCCGAAAATGAGGTCAGCGCCTCAGCGAGAGCAGCATTTTGGAAAAAATGCAAGCGAAAACCCAACTCTGGGGAAACCTGTGTGTTAAAAAACAATACGCGGGGGGGGTCGGCTACTCCCATTCCGTCAAGAGGGAGAGTAGTATTCATATTGAATGATTGTAGATGGCGACGACCGTAGGGGGGAGTCCGTCGACAGGCTTAGGCCGCGGGCGGGGGCGGCGTGGGCGGCCGCGGGGTCCGCAGCACCTCGCACACCGCGAAACCGCTGCTTCAATCAGTGGGCGGTTGGCAGCGGGCAAGAGGCAACAGCCTCCCCCGCTCTCTCCCAGCAGGAAAGCGCGGCGGAGGAAGCGAAGATTGTGGGGCTGAAAACGGCAGTTCCTGTGGGGAGGGGGGGATGGTGGAGACGGGAGGGCAGAAGAAAAAAACGCCACAAACATGAACTGTTGGCACTCCGCGCGAATTTCTTGGATCCGCGCCGGCAGGCACCGCCAGAGGCGCCGCCGGGGGGGGGGGGGGGGGGGCCCCCCCCAGCCAGCGCGGATCCAGGAAATTCGGAAATTCGCGCGAAACGCCGAAAGTTCTGCTTATGGCGTTTTTCCTTCTTCGAGATGGGAGGAGCACGGGGTACCGATGATGGGCCTGTTTTCCACCACCACCACCACCACCACCACCACCACCACCACCACCACCATAAGTTGAAGTGTGACGGGTCCTCCTCCTCCTCCTCCTCCTCCTCCTCCTCCTCCTCCTCCTCCTCCTCCTCCTCCTCCACCTCCTTCCCCCCTCCAACTTGTGGTGGTGGTGGTGGAACACGGGCCCCTCACACCGAGGGCCCCGCAGCGGGCCGGCGAGGCGTCGGCCGCCGGCCTGCGCAGGCGCCGCTGCAGCGCGCGGCCCTGCTCCAGGGTCAGGGTCGGCGCCGGGTTGAACGCCTGCCCGCCGGGGGGGGGGAGCTCAGCAGGAAAGGGGCGGGGAGGAGGGGGGGAGGGGGGAGGAGGGGGGAGGAGGGGCGAGGAGGGGCGAGGAGGGGGGAGGGGAGGAGGGGAAGAGGAGGGGGGGAGGGGGGCCAGGAGGAGGGGCAGGGGGGAGAAAGGGCAGGGGGGCGAACAGGAGGGTGGAGGGGGGAAGGAGGATGCGAGGGGGTGGAGGAAGCGGACGAGCATGGGGAGGAGGAGGAGTGGAGGATGGCAGGATCCAGAAGGGGGAGGAAGAGGGAAGAGAAGCAGATCAGAAGGGACCAGAAGAAGAGGAGGAGGAGGAGGAAGAAGAGAAGGACGAGAGGAGGAGGAGGAGGAGGAGGAGAAGGAGGAAGGTGAGGGGGAAGACGACAACGACGATGAGGAGCAGCAATAACAGCAGGAAGGAGCGGAAGAGCCTTAGAGGAGGACGAGGAGGAGAAGGGGGAGGAGCAGGAGAAGGAGAAGGTCGACGAGGACAATGATGATGCTGATGATGATGCTGATGATGCTGATGAGATGGTGATGCTGATGATGCTGAAGATAACGATGATGTTGATGATAATGATGGTGATGGTGATGATGGTGACGATGGTGATGGTGATGTGATGATGATGACGCTGATGCTGATGATGATGATGATGATGATGATGATGATGATGACGATGATGATGCTGATAATGCTGATGATGACGATGATGCTGATGCTGCTGATGATGGTGATGATGATGGTGATGATGATGATGATGATGATGATGATGATGATGATGATGATGATGATGATGATGATGATGGTGGTGGTGGTGGTGGTGGTGGTGGGATGGGGGGAGGGGGAGGAGGGGGAGGAAGAGCTCGAGGACAAAGAGGAGGAGGAGGAGAAGCAGGAGGAGCAGCAGCAGCAGCAGGGGAAGAGGGGAAGATATGAGGAGCAGGACGACGAGCAGCAGACGAAGATGGGGAAG